AAGGTATTAATATAATAAGGGTGTATCCAGTGCAGAGAGCTCCCGCTCAGTGCGGGGTCTGGAGAATGGTGTTAGTGGCAAGCCTTACCCTCGCCTATGCAATGTGAGGAGACCGCGACTTGAACCCGGGACCTTCCGGTCACAGACGGTAAGACTCTACCGCTTGCACCAAGCCCAAGTAAATCGCATCAAAGATACAACTTGCAAGTAACCACTGTGATCAAATTGCAATCACTGGAAGTTGGAACGCGGCAATCACTGAACGCGGCAATCACTGGAAGCTGGAACACGGCGGAGGTTCCCTCTGATAGCTGAACTTCTACTCACCAGTCACTCATCTATCACAAGCCTTATCAGAAATTAATACAAATCAGTCAGAATAGTAGGAACAAGACTGAAGAAGAAAGGCATCTTCCACCGCGTGCGCGTTGCATTAGCTGATAAGAATCCTCTCGCTTCCTGAAACCACGTTACCATCCAAGCAATATTGGCAGCAGGAATCCTTGCCACCGCGTGCGCGTTGCGGTCATGACACGCACAGAATCGGTCCTCCCGAGAGGTTAAAGCAAATAGGTGATCATTCCAAAGCGCATTGCCACTGCAGCCAGTTTCACAGAACAGCAGAAGGACAAACGCTAAGCGACTAGATGCAAGAGTTGCCGAGTTTAGAGACCTAGTGCCTTTGCTATAAAAGCAAACATCAACTTGGCTCTACGTGATTGTGATGCTATTGACTTGGTGTTCTTGCTATACTAAAGTCTTTGACGGGACAAAAGAGAAAGGAATAGTGTACCATTGAATTCCAGTCGTGTGGAAAAATGTTGAGACGTACTGTAAACACATTTTATTAGTCGTGAGTTAAGTGATAAGTCGGTCGTAAATGGTGCTGGCTGTTTATTTGGACAGTTTTTCTTGCTTTTGTTGTCCTCTACAAATAAAAAAAATGCAGTAAAACTTTTGCATTTGGAAAAAAAAGATATTTCAGTGCAATCCTTCAAGCGGCATCCTTAGTGGCATTATATGGATTTTCCCGAGGCTACAGATCTAGAGGCAACAATAATAGGCACCAGCACACAAGATGCAACAAAAAGGAAGTCGTTAATAGTAGTAGTAAAAAAATAATATGACCGTCCTATGTAGATTTCTCAAGCATTTCCGTGGTGTCTGGTTGTTTTATAACTAAGGGCTATTGGACTGATCATTCCCCACGGGGATTGATGAGATAATTAGTTCATTCCCTCAGCTATATATGCACAAATCTTATCAGGGTTCAAAATTGGACAACCACACACTATCCAAAACAATAGAAATAGAAATGGACGGATCTGAAGGTATTAATATACTAATAATAATAAATCGCATCGAAGATACAACAACTTGCAAGTAACCACTGTAATCACATAGCAATCACTGGAAGTTGGAACACAGCAATCACTGGAAGCTGGAACACGGCAGAAGGTTTCCCTCTGATAGATGAACTTCTACTCACCAGTCAGTAGTCACTCATCTATCACAAGCCTCGTCAGAAATCAAAACTCTCGTAGTGCCTTCACTAGGAAAATAAATACCACCCTCTGTCCCAAATTATATGTCGTTTTGGCTTTTCTAGGCACATAGCTTTTGCTATGCATCTAGATTTACGATATGTCTAGATACGTAATTAAAATTGTGCATCTAGTAGCATGTAGTTAGACTTGTACAAGTCAGTCAGAATAGTAGGAATAAGATTGAAGAAGACAGAGGCACCTTCCAGATAACTGATAAGAATCCTCTCACTTCCTGAAACCACGTTACCATCCAAGCATTATTGGCAGCAGGAATTCCTCGCCACCACGTAGCTATCTTGACAAGCACAGAATCAGTCCTCCCGAGAGGTTAAAGCAAAAAGGTGCTCATTCTAAAGCACTTACAACCTTCTCTTCGACCACCTTCACCTCTGAATACATCCCATGAGCTTGCATAAATTTCTTCTGGCAGTACTGCTGCTTTTGCTTCTCAACTGTGCATCCTATGCTGCCACATCATGGGAAGATGATGAGTTCCTCAAAACTTGTTCATCGCATCGATGCCACAAACATGGACCAGAGATCCGGTTTCCGTTTCGGCTTCCAAGCCACCCTCTATCATGTGGCACACCTGGGATGCAATTATCATGCTCTGGGCATGACACCATCCTGGATCATCCAGTTCTTGGCTCCTGCAAAGTGACAGCGATATATTACAGGCATCGTGTCATGAATGTCATCCTGCCAGCGGACTCGTCATCACACTGCCCACTTCAGAAGCTGGTCACACGAAATCAATCAACTGATGTGTACGCACCTGTCACACGCACCTTGTTAGACTCAGTACTAGTAGGCTGCTCAAGAGAAGCAACAAATCAAGATGGTATCGTCGGCCCAAGCTCTTGCTTAAGCCTCATTAACAACGCAAGCCAGCTCTGGTACCTGGTGCTTCCTTATACAGATATGTCTACTCTTCCCATGGGCTGTGAAGTGGTTGCAAAGGGCATCCCAATACCCTAAACTTACGATAAAATTGGTCGAAAAGATGAGACATTATTTGGCAAGTCACTCTTCAGTGGAAAGGCAAATAGAGCAATCAATTTGGGTAAAATAGCATTCAATTGGCACCTTAACAACATCACCAGTGCTTGTCAAAGGTGTGAACAGGAAGGGAAACATTGTGGATTCAGTTCAAACAGGGGACAAGCATTCTGCCTGCATCACGGTATTGTTTTCCAGCCTAGATCCCATAATGTTTGTGGTGTTCCGTTCTAAGTTGCGCCATTACTGATGTTTATTAGCTTAGCATCTTTTGTGTTATCCAATTTCCTTTCACTTCCACAAGATTCCTGCCAAACAAGCCTAATGGGTTCAGCTATAGTAAGATCATGCTGGCAGAATGCTTCTTTCCTTCTAATCTTAGTTTTAAGGAAATCCTGCATTTTCAACATCGTACAAGATTCTTGTCTATGCTTAAATTGTTTTGCAAAACTCAACTGCAATAGTTCTAACTCTAATGGTTTCCTGCTACGTTGTTGTAGCTGGGTCGCTGGCTTCTGTTCTGATGAAGTATTGTAGATTTTTGTGGTAGCTTACATTAAGACTGTAGAGTCATTCAAAGAAATCCTCACAGAAACTTAAGTTAATAGACCCCAATGTCGAATTATGATGGTGATGGTTATTCTTTTGGAAATTTCTGATAAAAGTCAAGTAAAAAAGAAATACGGGACATTTGTACAAGGAGAGTGCCACTGAAATCATCAGTAAATTGGTGTTTTAATTATGATTATGGATGTTTGTGTCCATTCAAGGCACATATTATGGTTAGGAGCTGGCAGTGCTGCTCAACAGGTTGCCAAGGTTTCTCAGCTTAGTCGTCCTAGAGCGGTAATCCTAGACCGGGGGAGCTCTACCAAACAGGCCCTTAATGGGGAAGTAATTGGCAAGCTTCATCCAGCCAGCGCACCATGCCATGTTGGGCCTCTTGTTGTGCCTGGTGTACCACATAACATCACGACTGATGGAGTAATATTGCATATACAACATACCTACATGCACAAGTGTAAAATTCCTAATGTAAAACACTTATATAATATACATTTTTACTAATATATTATATTATTAAAAAAACCAGAATCTTGCAGCAGATATTGTAAAAAGGTTAATAACCTTGATTTAGTGACAGAGGAAATATTGAACTAAGTTGCATTGATAGATGAGTCTTGAGATGTCTGGCTACTAGGATTAGAACTCTGCTTATCAGTTTGAGCACTCTGCCTGGCTGCATGAGCAGACTATTTAGTGGTTAGCTACCTTAGCTATTAAGTTACTTCTGCCAGGATTATTAGGAAGCTAATTTTGTTTTGGCCTGCTGCTGTTCAGGTCGGTAACAGCAGTAAACAGTAGCTGCAGCAGAGTAAAAGGCCAGTTACAGCAGCAAGCAGGTCGGTTTGAATCAAACCGGCTAGCATTCTGCATTAGCAAATACTCAGTAGCTGAGTATGTTAGTATGCAGAAGCAAACTGACTTCTCACGTCTTCACCTTGTACTATAAATATAAGCATATGCCATAAGGAAAATCTGCCTTCCCAGTTGTAGATTCAACTCTCAGCTAGAACACAATAATGGAAAGTTAAAAATCAGTGTAATATACCCAATATGTAAGGTCATAAACTCATAATTGGTGTCAAAGTAGGAATCAGCAATGATTTATGAATTCATTTCAAAAGTGCTTTACTTTTTCTTGTCAAAATTAACCATGGGAAGATTAATATTCACTCTTCATACCTGCAGGTTCACATGTCATCCTCATTGCAGGTAATGCTGCCACTGAAAATTCTACCATTCTGTTGCTTTTTTCTTTTTGCTACAATACAATTTTTACGTTGTCATTTTCCAATAATAACACTAATATTTTTAAAACAAGAAATTTGGTCGTGGGACATAGCTGTTTTCTTCAAATGCAGCTAGCTCATCTGTTTTTCCTTTTATTCAGCTACAACATCAGTAGCCACATTCGTTGTTCTGCTAGCCACTGCACTCTATCTTTCACAGAAGAAAGATACAATGAAGCAATACATTTGAAAGTAGAAATGTTTCTCAAAACATATGGCACATCAAAACCCACAAGGTACACTTTCTCCGAAGTTAAGGAGATAGCAAGACGGTTCAAGGAAAAAGTAGGCCAAGGTGGGTTTGGAAGTGTTTACAAAGGACAGCTACCAAATGGTGTGCCAGTGGCGGTCAAGATGCTAGAGAACTCTACAGGAGAGGGAGAAGACTTCATCAATGAAGTAGCAACCATTGGACAAATCCATCATGCAAATATAGTCCGCCTCCTGGGCTTTTGCTCTAAAGGAACAAGGCGTGCACTTATCTACGAATTCATGCCAAACGAGTCATTGGGGAGATATACATTCTTGCACAATCCTAATTCTCAAGAGCTCCTAGTACCTGAAAAAAATGCTAGATATCGCTACAGGCATTGCTAGAGGAATGGAGTACCTACATCAAGGATGTAACCAACGCATCCTCCACTTTGACATCAAGCCTCACAACATTCTGCTGGACTACAGCTTCAATCCAAAAATTTCAGACTTTGGCCTTGCTAAGCTGTGTGCAAGGGACCAAAGCATTGTTACCTTGACCGCAGCAAGAGGAACAATGGGGTACATCGCACCAGAGATATATTCTCCAAATTTTGGTGGGGTATCATACAAGTCAGATGTTTACAGTTTCGGCATGCTGGTGTTAGAAATGGTGAGTGGAAGGAGGAATTCAGACCCAGGTATCGAGAACCAAAATGGGGTGTATCTACCAGAGTGGATCTATGGGAGAGTAGTCGCTGGGCAGGACATCACACTTAGTAGGGAAATAGCTGACCAGGAGAAAGAAACAGTGAGGCAGCTGGCCATTGTTGCACTCTGGTGCATTCAATGGAACCCCAAAAACCGGCCGTCGATGACAAAGGTGGTTAACATGTTGACAGGAAGGTTACAGAATCTACCAATACCACCTAAGCCATATGCCTAGCCTGAAAGCCATCCTATGCCAAAACATGGAGGATATACTGCCATGATTTAGCAAGCATGAAAAGCAGTTATTCTTACTTTCATATGTGAGCTTAGTAACGGTTAGAAGTATATTACATTGTATTTGGATCATTTCACTGTATCAGCCACATGAACTGTGACTCTTTTAATTTTGGATGTGTAGTAACTTAATTAGAAACGTATCACATTGCATTTGATTTCCATTGTTGTGGTTCAATTATTGTGATTTTCCAGAAAATACGTTCCTGTGATTTATCTGTGCCCGTCAATGTTGTGTACGACAACAAGTCCCTGCATACCTCAGAAAGGTGTTCTATTCTTTTCTTTTTTTGTGTGTGTGTGGAACAAGGTGTTCTACTTTTCCTATTCATGGTGCACAAGAGTTATTATCAATTCATCATGCTGGGTAATTGATAAATAACTAAATCTCAGCAATGTGTTCTACATGTCGTTCCTATGGGCCATAATTGGCCAAAATGTGAAGACGCTATAACCATGCAAGGCAATTAAATTGTGGTGCGTCGTCTCGGAGAGGTGACACGGGGGCGACTCTAGCTCCATCGCCTCGCACCACCGCCGCGTGCTCGGCCGGCCGCCGCCGCTGCCTCGGCCGACGTCGGCGCTGGTGGCGGTGGCGGGCAGTGGCCGCCGCCACAGCCCTTCCTCTTCTCCTCCTTCCCCTTTTTCCTTTGCTCCTCTTCCTTCTTCTCCCTGCCCCATCCTCCCCCCATGGTCTGGTGCGTTCTCTGCTCAGAGGATGGTCGGATCCGGGTCGGGAGTGGGTGGATTCGCGTCCTGCTGGCCGGATTCACCGAGTTCCAGTGGTTCGGCCGGAGTTCCAGCGAGTTTCCAGCGGCGGCACCTCTCTCTTCGCTGGTTTGGCTAGGGTGACAGCCAGATCTGCGCAGCTGGTGGCCGGTTCCGTGTGGGCTGCCGGATCTGCGTGGGGAGTGGCCGGATCTTCGCTTTCCCTTGCCGGATTCGCCTGTGCCCAGTAGCTGCATGGCATTGGCGGGCGCCATTCTTGCCTGGCCTCATGGTGGCGGGGTTCGGACTTCGCTTGCTTCGCCTTTGCAGGCGTGGAGGCTCGGTGCGGAGGGTACTGGTGGCCTTGCGCGGCGTGGTTCATGCAGGGCCGGCTCGGCAGGGGGTGGGTTGGGCGACTAGGGCTTCTTCTGATCCTGGCCCTCTTCTTCCCGCCATCTGCCTTCCCCCTTCCTCAGTGTGTTTCGTGGTATGAGCTGGCTCGGCACAACAGCTTTCGTTATTGGCGGCTTTGCCTGCCGGCGGGGGACTCTCCTCCGGGCTTCTCCCGGCGCTTTCTCCCTGGCCGGTGTCCCTTGGGCGGCAGCAAGCGGGCGGGTCGGCTGCTGACCCATCACCGCATCCTACCTCCCTGGTAGGATTGGGTCTTTGGCGGCGACGGTGCGGAGGTTGCTTGAGGTCGGGGCGAAAGCTTGGACGACAATGTCTGCGGACGTCGTTCCCTTCTTGAGGCGCCCTTTTCTACCCTCCCACCGTCTTTGGAGATTGCGGTGAAAACCTCCCCTTGGCGGGCTAGCTTGTCGGCCGCTTTTTAGCTGCTTCTTTCTTGGAGGCATAGCTAGGCTTTTCCAGCCTGCATGATTTGCTACTTGCCGTCTGGCCTTGGTGGTGCCCCATGCTGTGATGTTTAGTGTCGCCCGACAGGTCATCGTATTCCTTCAGTCCTTTGTTCAGTTGTTAGTTGACCTTGTTGAGGTCTTAGTTGGGTTGTCTCAACCAAGTTGGAGCAAGTAGTGGTGTGAGTTTTGATAGTTATCTAGTTGTTGTACCAAAGTTGTGTAGGATGAGTGGGGTGCTCTCCTCAGCTATATTGTTTTTGGGCCCAGTTTCCATCAAAAAACTGGGCAGGCACTTGTCTTTTTTTTTCTTTCTTCGTCTAATAGAAATCGTGGCAAAACTTTTGCCGGCCTTTCTAAAAAAAATAAATTGTGGCAGGGACGAAGCCAGCCGAGTAGGTCGCCACTCGCCAGGTCATCCACTTTGCTAGCTAGGGTTTGCAATGCTGTAATACAATGCGTACAGTGATTTTCAACTTCAAACCATCAGGGTCAGGCCTAGCTCCGCCCTTGAATTGTGCGTAGTTTCTTATCCCCCAATCCCCACACAGCCACACCCCAGCAACAATGTCACCCGGCGTATGCCCTAGGTTTATGAGCACAGCGGTCCTAAAATCTAGCAACGTAAAATGCAAAAGCAAGGAGTGTTACCTCTGTCAGTAGCGAGTAGGAAGCGAATCCGGAAAGCGGTAGCAGCCCTCACCGGAGCGGAGGACGGCGGCGAGGAGGGGAAGACCCGTTCCGGCATTCGGAGGTGGTGGTGCGCACATCGGCACATGAGGGAATTCGTGAGACTTCCAACCTGGCATGTGGACTGCTTGATTTCAACGGTTGGTGGCTACGAGGTAGTGGAAATCGGTGGCGCAGTTCAGCGGTCGGTGCGCCAGGCGGGGTGCGAGTGCGACGAACAGAAGCGCTTGGAGTCAGGAGGGCAACGGCACCGGGAGCGACAGTGGCCGCCTGAGGTCGCGACTCGCGCGGCGTGGGCTCGTGTCGGCTGTCACAGGTGGCAGTCAGCGCGAGGAGATGTGATTCAATGGCCCATGGGCCTGATTCGGCCCATGTAGAAATTCATTCGGAGTTTTTTTTTCTTTGAATATTCATTCGGAGTTCAGTATGGGGTATTGTTCAGTAAGAACTGAACATGTCTCAAATTTCTGAATCCTTCATCTTTCACATTTCTGCTGCAATTCCACCTTCTCTATCAATAAAATAAGCACAGCCTAAATCATAATGTTGTGTAGACCTTTCTCGGACTCAAAAGGAACAGGAAATTGTGAACGAAGGAGGTAAGTTACCTTACGCCGGCCAGCCACTTTGCCGTCTCGATCCACTGCACCATGAGCAATTGAGCATGCATGGAGTCAGGAGAGGTGGTGCACATCTCCGCTCGTCATCGGCGTTGTCCCTTCCTAAAGCTACCTGCCTACTTCGGAAATTGGTTTCTCTCCATCCCAAATTATAAGTCATTATAACTTTATTGGAAAGTCAAAACATCTTAAGTTTGACTAAATTTACATAATAAAATAATAACATTTATGATATTAACTAAGTATCATTAGATTCTTTATTAATTATATTTTTATAGTATACCTATTTGATATTATAAATCTTTGTAACTCTCTCTGTAATTTTGATCAAACTTAAGATGCGTTGACTCTCTAAGAAAGTTAGAATGACTTATAATTTGGAATGGAATGAGTACTTCAGATTGGACTTGGTTTCCGCCGCGGAGAGCCGACGGCTGCGGGCTACCACTTAGTGCAGGCTTGCTCCTCCGGTTCCTCTTCCTCTCCCGGCGTGCGTGCTCAGTGGACACGACTGACCGACATGCGACTATGCGAATTGCCAAGCTGGCTGGATCGTATCGGCTTGGCCCTCCTTATCCGGGCTATGGTTTGTCGAGTTTCAGAAGCCCCTCAGGAAGGCATCAGCTCGCTTCATCCACTGCTGAAACCTGAAATCACAGTAAAATGCTTGTCGGACATTACTCACAGACCACAAAAGGGCACGCTGCGTCGTCTCAGCAATATTCCACAAACACTTATGTCTTCGTTGTTTTCCACAGACAGTTCACACCAGAAGAGCAAACTGCATGGAATTGACAGACTGCACTAAAGTAAACGGGTGCAATGACGATGAACAGCACAGCCAATGAACCTAACAAGTAACAACGTCTGGAGGTATTTTATATGACATCACATTATCACACTCTCGATACAAGTATACAACCAGTACCTGACCTTATGACAACCTTAAAATCTTAGTAGTCTGATACATTAAGACTTATGATCACACAGACACAAGTGTATTTTACTCATCCTCCTCTTCTATTGCATTCAGTTCGGAGGACATAGAGTAAGAACCATCCACCTCATCGTCACAAAAGAATGGCCTTGGAGGCATTTGAATGTCTTCGACGCCAGCTTCAAGCATCTCTATGACCTCGCTCATTGTCGGCCGATCGTGCGGCTTCATCTGGATGCACCGGAGCCCAATGATACATAGCTTCTTCTCTAACTCGTGCATATCAACGCCTCCACTGATCCTGCCCACATCTTCTTGGATCAGCTGGCTATAAACCCACGATGGGTAGTATGCTTGGCTGGAGCTTCCGGCATGTGGATCAGCGTTCCTTCGCCCTCCCGTCATCTCCAACAGTAGCATCCCAAAGCTGTACACATCGGATTTGCTAGAGATGAGACCAAAGCTTCGAGATACCATCTCTGGAGCTATATAGCCTATCGTTCCCCGCATAGCGCTCAGTGGCACGAAACTATCGTCTCTTGGGAATAGTTTGGCGAGCCCAAAATCAGCAACTTTTGGAACAAAGTTGCTGTCAAGAAGGATGTTGTGTGGCTTGATGTCAAAGTGTACGATCTGCATATCACACCCCTGATGCAGGTAGTTGATACCTCTGGCAATGCCCAGAGCAATCTCATTGAGTTTGTCCCATGAGAAAGTCTTCTCCGATGAGAAGATGTACTTATCGAGAGATCCACGGGGCATGAACTCATAGATAAGTGCCCTACTAGTTTCCTCAGAGCAAAACCCAACAAGGCGCACAACATTGACATGGTGAATCTTCCCAATGGTGGCGACCTCACTGATGAACTCGTCTCCGTTACAGTTGGAGTTGCCCAACATCTTGACAGCAACGTGAACTTCACCTGGCAGTAGCACCCCCTTGTATACAGAACCATAGCCTCCTTGCCCGAGCTTGTCTCTGAAATGGCCAGTGATAGCAATGATATCTGTGTATGCATATCTCATTGGAACGAGCATTTGCTGCATTCGCAGGAACTTCTCGACTGCATCGATTGTTATCCTTGTTTTCCAGTATTTATTGGCTAAGAAGATAAATACTGCCAGCGGCATC